GCGCGCCCAGTGAGTGCTGGAAGGTGGGGAGCCGGAGGGGCGGTCCGTCCTGACGTTGGTGCTGGGATGACCGGCTGCAGTGTTACTAGAAGTTCCTCCATGGGTGTCCACTGTGGGCCTGGCACCGAGCCCGAGTGTGCACTGAGCTCCAAGTTGAGCCTGCCCTCTGGCCCTGGAAGCCGCCACACCTCGGCCCCCCAAGCCCAAGTCCCCCAGGCTGCCTGCTCCAGGGCCGCTTTCTCTCCAGGAAAGCTGCCCAGGCCGCCAGCCGTGTGTGCCTTTAGCTGTGGCCCTTGCTTCTCAGTCTGCCCTTGCTCCCTCACCCCAGACTAAGAAATCAGGAACCCGAGGAGGCTGAGGATAGGCCAGTAACCCTCCCAGGGAAGCCGGGCAGGCAGGAGTCAACAAGGCAAGCATGGCTCAGTCACTCAGGAACCGGTCTCTGAGCACCTGGGAGTGCGGGCCCCGGGCCTGGCCTGCAGGGCTGGGGTTCTGTGCTTGGGGGGGCTGCATGGCTGGCCTTGTGCGCAGACCTGCAGCCTGGTTCTAACAGGAGCAGATGCATGCTAAAGGGACATCCCTGGTGGCCTGTTTGCGAAGGGGAGGGGAGCTGGTCTTCTGAACCACCCCTCAGGTAAGTCAGGTTCTGTTTCTGCTCTCAGGCCACCGGACCTTATGTCTCAGACACCCCTGCTCACAGCCTGTGTGCTGCAGGTGCTCCTCGGGGTCCCAGGGCGGGTGCGCTCAGAGCCTGGCTGGTGACAGAGGCAGATGGAAAGAAGACCCAGTGACCGTCGGTCTGTATGTCCCCGTTGGCCTCCTTGGCCTCCACCCAGATGCCTCTGGGGGAGCTGGGGTTCCTTTCCTGTCTAGTAAGTTCCAGAGGTTTGACAGGATGAAAGCCAGAGGCTTTTTGTCCCAGGGAATAAGAAGGGGGGCATTTCTGAATTTGCCAGTCTGGGGAATTTGGGGGCCAAGCGTCAAGAAACCCATTAAATCACTGTTGTGATGCTTCCGTGAGTTGCTTTAATAAACCATATATTTTCGGGGCGCCTGGGTGGCTCAGTCGTTAAGCATCTGCCTTCGGCTCAGGTCATGATCCCGGGGTCCTGGGATCAAGCCCCGCATCGGGCTCCTGCTCAGTGGGAGGCCTGCTTCTCCCTCTCCCACTCCCCCTGCTTGTGTTCCCTCTCTCGCTGTGTCTCTGTCAAATAAATAAATAAAATCTTAAAAAAAAAATAAACCATATATTTTCATTGTGAGAGTAATACTCGTTCATTACAAAGAGTTTGAGAAAAGGTATCTAATTAATAACCTAACTCCGCAGAGATATGGACTGTAAGTATTTTGGCATGCTTCGTGACAGTTTTTAAACAGTACTGTGATGAACATCTTTGATGATATGGTAGTCCTGCCCCCTGCCCCTTATCCACAGGGGATACGTTCCCAGACCACCAGTGGCCACCTGAAACCACGGATAGTGCCGATCCCTCCACGGACTACGTTCTCTCCTACACGTACGTACCTGTGGTTAAGCTCAGCTTGTAAACTAGGCACAGGAAGGGAGTAACAACATGGCTAATAAGAAAGCAGAACGACAGTAAGAGTACGCCATGGGAAAGTTACGTGGCCGTGGTCTCGCTCTCCGAATGTCACGTGGCCCTGTGCTCACCCTTCCTGGATGCGGTTAGAGGATGAGATGCCCACGTGGCGGGAGGATGCAGATGAGGGGCACAGGGGTGTGGTGCAGCGGGAGGCAGCTGCAGACCTGAGCCTCCGTCTGAAGGAGGGTCATCTGCTTCTGGACCGTGGCCAGCGTGGGAACTGAGGTGAGGGGCTGCTGTGTGTCCTTGGAAGTGGCCTGAGTATGTCCTCGAGGTAGATTCCCGGAACAGACACTGCGGGGCCAAAGACTACCACGTATTTTGCCAAGGTGCCCTCCAGAGGCGCCGACTGATGCCATGTCCCCCCGCTGTGTCCCTGCAACCCCTTGTCTCCCGCTGGCCACACTGCTCATTCCGTTTGGTCTTGGGGGTCTCGGAGAACAGGCTTTTTGTTGCTTTGATTTTCATGCCTTTGACTGCTGGTGATGTAGAGCATCTTTTGATTTTGCTGTTGGCCATTTGGAAGATTGCCCGTACGTGTTCCTGTGCATGTTTTGTTTTCCTCTTGGGCTATGTGTCTTTTTCTTACTCTAGAGCTCTGTCTATTAAGGGCTTTAGCCCATCTCTCCCGTGTACTTGTGTGCATCACATCGATGTTTCAGTTCATCTTTTTAACTTTGGAATTCACCTTTTGTTTGTGATGCACTGATGTTCAATGTGTGCGTAGCCAAATCTATCAGGTTTCCTGATATGGGTTCTGGCTTTGGGATGAGACCTAGGGTAGCTTTCACCATACCAAGTTTTCATAAGTGTTCACCAGTTGATGGCTAAATTTCAAAATCAGAGAGCTGTGTAAGACACGAGGGGGACGGGAGTTCATCTGAGGAAATCAGAAGCCAAATGTGCAGTGGGGAAGAAACAGTCTCTTCAAAGGGAGAGCACTTTCTCCACTTCTGTCTGAAGGCATGACCTTCAAATACATATGGACCACCCCACGCATGCATGCACCCACACACACATGCACGTACCCACACCCCCACATACACGCACCCACATGTGTTTTTAACTTTTGGAAGCTTTACCTCTTGCACATTGTAGGGTCTTGAAGGGAAGAATGAGAAGAGGCGTCTGTTTTTTATCAAAACTCTCCTGTTGTTTCGCCTGGGTGGCTCAGTCAGTTAAATGACTGACTCTTGGTTTCAGCTCAGGTCATGATGTCAGGGTGGGATTGAGCCGCATGTCAGGTTCTACACGCAGCGTGGAGTTTGCTTGAGATTCTCTTTTCCTCTCCCTCTGCCCCTCCTCCCCTTGCTTGCACTCTCTAAAACAAATAAATAATTCTTTAAAAACAAACAAACAAAAAACCTCTCTAGTCCTAAGAGGTGTTGGCTTTGGTGTTGGGAACTCGGGTTTCCCCTCTAAATGGGCTCCTGACTGCAGGTTTGGGTCCCGCAGAGCCCACAGGCTGTCTCCCCACTGTTCTTGCAATAGTGGGGTCCCTTTCCTCCCCCCAAGGGACCTCTGTTCCGCCCAGGCCCAGTGCTTCCAGGATAGTCCGTGGCTGTGCTTTCCTCTGGGTGGGCCACTGTGGGAACAGGGATAGCAGTGGTGGGGTATCTGGTCAGGTTCTGGGGCCAACCACTGCTCCCCTCTGGTTTTCCATTTGTCCTTCTGTCACGGGAACGGAGGATCCCAATGGAACTTCCTGTTACTCTCCATACACCTCCAGATGTATGGGATGGCCAGGCCCCGGGGACCAGAGTCCATGCTGGTAGAGATGCCAGGGCCTTATATTCAGATCTGTTTCCCTTCACAGAGTTAATGATGCTCTCATAAACTCAAATGAAAGAAGGCACCCCCAACTCCAGGAAGTTTGACAGTCCCCGGAGGTCCTGGGGGGCGGCACAGCCCCCCCGTGATGCTTCATCCCTGCCTCCGCGAAATGTGAAATGCACTGGCCCCACTTTGAGGAGCTGGCCTGAGGTCACGCTCACACAGCTCATACAGGGGCATCTCTACCCAGAGTGCTCTTGGCTCATCAATGCGAAGGACCCTCAAGGACCACCAGCAGGGCCCGTGACGTAAGTGTGGCGCACGCCTCGCTGGCAAAGAATGAGGTCTGCCCTTGTGCTCCGGGGGGCAGGGGGGAGCAGGTGGAGGTGAAGCCTTCCGCAGGTTGTGGCAGGAGGCTGGACAGACTCCCATTCTCAGGCTGTGGGGAGCGGCCCGCGGAGGGGGCAGCGCCCAGTTGTTGTACTGTTCCTGCTGACTTCTCTCACGCTCTTCTCATTCTGAAGTCATGGGTGTTTTTGCTTTCATACACACAGAACTTAGGCGAGGTATTTGATGCGCACGGATGAGTGCTTCTGTGCGCAGGGGACCACCGTGGTATGCGTGCCCCTCCCCGAGCCAGGGACGGGGGCTCCGCCCGCTCCGGCCCATCTTTGGAAATTCTCTTT